CGAATATATTAAACAATTAATTATTAATCTTATAAATAATAATAATAATAATAATAATAATAATAATAATAATAATAATAATAATGATGACGATGATGACTACTAGGACGACGATGAAAATTGTTATATAAAAATATAACACATTTGATATAAAGAAATATATTTATAAAAAATTTTTTCTAAATGTTATATTAACTGCATATGTAAGGATGCAGTAGGATTATTCCCGTTAGTACTAGGCAATTGGATGAGATTCATAACCATTACTGTGATACGCGAAGGCAGATGAGAGAGAGTTGGCTACAGGTGGTCCCGGGCAAATCAATACGGCTCGTGTGTCTCGGTGAATATACGAGTGCCCTCTCCATGTCTCTCACACAATAGTACTACTGATTCCTACGCAGGATCCTAATATTGCACGATGCTTGTCGTTTTCCTTGTCAATTCTTGACGGTTAATATAAATACGTACATATATATATACTTATTTCTATATGTACTTATATATGTCTATATATTTCCATACTTTTTGCTATATTGGCTATCTTTAGGTGTACATTTTATTGAAAAAATTGTTGTATTATGTTTTATTTATATATATGTATATTATAGATTTGCTAAGAAATAATTTGGAAATTGTAAGTAGTTTATATATCTAAATAATGTGTTGTTTGTTTTTCTTTTTACTTATTAGCAAACCTAATATTTTCATTTTTATCTTTTTCTCTCTCTACATCTTACATCGCAAAAGTCGTAACATATTATATAACTATATCAACAAGACGAGTTATATTAACGTATTCGTCATTTTTACAAAGGAAACAAAACGTTTGACTACTGTACGGGAAAAAAAAGAAACGTCGTATATAAATATAATATACATGGAATAACTTATTTTTCAATTTTTATCTTCAACATTTGTACATTGTCTTTTTTTTTTTTTTTTTTTTTTTTTTTTTTTTTTTTTAAAAAAAAAAMMGTTGGGGGTKTTTTTTTTTTTTTTTTTTTTTTGATTTACATCTATCTTTAAAAACAAAACGATTGGTGATGATTTCTTTTTTTTTTGTTCTTTATACAAAATTAATTCTGTTTCTTTTTCTTTTTATAATATATAAATTCATTCTCATCCCAGTATTGAAATTATTGTTAAAAATATGTGAACGATTATTACATTGAAATATACATAAAATTAATTTGGCACATACAGGGTGAAAATGTATACAAATTTACATAAATCTATTTTTCATTCTTATTAATATTCTTATGATTAATTTTTTTTCTTATATGCATGTGTATATATAAATATATGCAACTTTAATGTATTTACAATGGCTTGGAACAACGTTAAGTGCGAATAATAACAGTGAACAATGCAAGAAAATTATTAACAACAAATGTGTTATACTAATTAACAACACATATCACATTAAATAATTTACTTAGAATAATTTTGATTTGTTTCTTTGTTCTCTTTTGTTTCATATTGAAAGGAAGACATTAGTATATATGATATACAATAATACAGTGGATGATACTGTGTATATAAGTATATGTATATGTGTATATATGATTAAAAAATGAATTTCAATTATTCATTAGTAGACGTTTACCTTGATTTACAATCAACCGATGTATCAAACGTACTGTCGAATTCATCCGGACTTATCATTTTTTCTGGATATCCTAATTTCAATACATCTTCCTGTACAATCTCGTGAAGATGTATATAACAAGATACTAATTTGTATTGACTAATGCATTCTACAATCCAATCGCAAGAAATTGGTACAGCTGAGGTCTTACTATACCAGTTTGCTGTAACATTAATATCACACGAGTTAATATCAATTTAAGTAAAGGAAAAAGAACAAAAATTATATTTGAAAACACATTTGGATTCTTACCCACATCTTCGTCCGTATGTATTTCGTTTTTTAATAATATAATTTTATGTTTATTTTTTGTAACAGCAAGTGCATCCAAACTTTGAATTATCGTAGCACCCATAGCTTTTAATAAATCCTGTATTGAAGAAAGAAAAAATATTTTATTATATTTAGCTATTTCGAATTGAAAGAAAGTTTGTTTTTAAATATTTTCTAAATTTCTATATATATACCTGAAATTGAGTAACAGTAATATTTTCGAAAGGTTCGATACAAGTAAATGCAAAACCATCGAACAAGTCGCTTTCTCTTAAACGCGATTTTCGAGGACCAGCCTCAAGAGTATAACAGTCAACAGCTTCGTAAGGTTCTTCATCTATTAAGGTACCTTTCTTTAAGCACTCGACAATCCACTGATAACCAACGACAAATTTTTTATGAGCAATTCCTTGCAGAAATTTCAATGTTTTAGTAGCAGCGTTGGTATTTTCTTTTGTAGATACAATAACGTGCGTCACCGTAGAATTGAAATTTTGCGTCCAAGTGGCATTAATCAAATTAGCTAATTTTTTGATACACTCAATTTGATCAATCATCAAACTACTCCAAATGAAACATAATCTTTTATTATTTACTTTGCTCCCCATCATCGTCATCCTTGATTCTTCTATCAAATTTGCGTTAGATTCAAATGATGTTTTATTATCTTGAGAATGGCTTGGTCTACAATTGCGATTAAAAGCTGCTTGGATCGTTTTAGGTGTACTTTGATAAAGCGGCTGTATTATATTTTGATTTATGGAAGTTTTAAGTTTAGAAGATACCAAGAAAGATGGTGTAGTAGTTGTTTTCATTTTCATCAGCTCTACTTGTTGAAACTTTTTACTCAACTCCGGTGTTATTGTTTGTGACATGGTCAAAGACTTTCTTGCTTTAGAGTTTACAATGCTGCGATCAATTTCCATGCTGAAAGTTTACACGCACATAAGTAAAAAATTAAAATAGATAATTTAAGTGTTGTATATTTAGAATAAATAGAATTATTATTATAAAAAAATGAATAATTATTATAGAAATATTTTACAAAAATCAGAGAAAACTGTTTGTTCATTTGAAAATATATTATAAATAGAATGAACAAGTAACACATTAATATATGAAAAAATTTAAATAAGAAGAAAGAAAGAAAACAAAAAAAAAGACGAAACAACTTACAATTTCTTATCAGACTGGGGCGTATTTTCGATTATCTCATCTTCGTCGCTGGAAATTTCTTTAGCATTCTGCGCATTCTAAACAAGAAAAAGAATTTTCGTTGAATAGGGAAGGGTCAAAAAATAATAATAAGAAATAAACAAAAATACCTTATTGGAAATAGCAAACAAACAAACAAGCAAGCAAGCAAGCAAGCAAGCAAGGAAATCTACCTTGTTATAAAGATTCGTTGTTACCTCAAGATTTCTTTTGGATTTTGTTGGCGTTTGCGACGAGTTTTCTAATCTTCTTTCCTGCAACAACGTTTTTGTATTTGTAGACTTTCCAAAACTACGTGAATTGCCGGCACCAAAGAGATCTTCTTCGAGAGCTTTCAGCAAAAGTTGATCTTGTGTTACATTCATGAGAGAATCGTACTCGGACGAGATATCCTTTTGTTCGATAAGTTGATCTTTGCTTTTACTAGAATCCTCGTATTTTTCTACCTCAGATATTAACGTAGTTGCAGTAGTTGTACGTGGTACCGTTGTTGTTCTTTTATTTTTGTCTCTTTCTTTGCTCATTGTATTTTTCTTCATGGAAATATCATTTTTATTATTTATCACATACGTAGCTGTTTCGTTTTCTTTATCAAACTCATTGAAATTTTCTTCTATCAACGTATCCTCGAAATTGTCTTCTATTTTACTACCGTTAAAATCGTCAAATAAATCGTTAGCTTCAATGCAATTCATTAGAGGAAGATTATTTTCGTTATCTTTATTTTCCAATTTATTGACATCTTCAACAATGTTTTCTTCCGTAAAAAAATTCTTACCTAAACTATCTGTTATGATTTCGACTTCATTTAAATTATCAATACCCTTTATCTTATTATTCGATGTTACCATATCATTTTCATTCATTCTAATCATTTTTACTTTATCAATAATATCATTGTTAGATTTTTCAGGTGCTTCCTTTTCAGAAATAATATTAACAGGCGTATCATAGTTATTCCATGAATCGAAATCAATACTTTGCGGGATCATTATCATTGGTTTGAAATTCATCGTCTCTTCTGAATTATTTTTCTTCATGGATTTAATCGAAGTACTCGAATCATTGCACCAATTATTCAAAATCTTATTAACAACGTTATCGTCCTCCGAATCCTCAGATGCTATATCTTTTTTCTTATCAATTTTAACTTTTTTGTTGTTTTTAATTTCATTTATATCCGTCTTCCTCTTTCTCGTTTGACTCGAATCGGTATCTGAACTTGAATGGGCTATCACTATTCTTTTATATTTGTGTTTTGTTGATTCGTTTAATGAGCTTATCGTTACTTTTTCATTATTAATATTATTATCGGACTCAGAAGTGAGTGATATAACTGCATCAACATTCTCGTTTTTGTTTATCCTATCAACAACACTTACGTTCAATTTATTTATTTGTGTCATGTTATTAGCCAATTTACCATCATCAGAATCATTTTCATCGCTCGATTCTTTTATTTGTCTATTCTTCGTATCTTTTTCCGCATTATATTCAATTAATTTTCTTTTTTTATCGTTAATTATTTGCCTCAAAGAAGTATCGTCATTATTCTTTTCAGATTTTCTTTTAAATCCTAAACTCGTAGATTCGTTTGAAATCTTTAACTCAACTAGTTTTGGGTCTATCATTGATTCCAGATCGAGATATCTTAATTGGGAATCATTTTCCGATGACATCATTTTAACGACGTTCGTTATTATTGGTTTCGAACACATTCCATTTTTAGAACAATTTTCTAATCTTTTTTTCGATAAAGATTCACTGATTCCGAATTTAACACGTTGATCGTTGACAATAACTATATTTTCGTTTGTTGGTTCTTTCAATGAAATTAAAAGAACATCTAACGATTCTTGCGAAGGATTTTTCGACGAATTTTTCTCACCTTTATCTTTTAACAAATGTATTTCATTATTTTTAACATCTTTTTCAACAATCAAATCCATAGAAGATTTTGTATGATCTAATAAATTGCACTCTTCTTCTCCTATTTTATACGTTTCTAATAAATCATCCGATTCTTCAAACGTAACCATGTTGACCTTGTAAGAATTTAATACTGCAATAGTTAAAGGATTAATTAACGATTCTCTTCTAACAGGCCCGAGTTTATAAAATTTTACCTTCCTTCTCTTTTTAAATACTGTGCCCAATTTATTGAACGGTACAACACGAATTTCCTTATTATTTTTTATTAAATTCGTATTGGTATGATCGATATCATTTCTTCGTTTTGATTTAGTGATTTTCTTATCAATGATTTCGCTAAAATTCTCTAATAAATCTCGGGACAATTTGTCTTGATTAATTTGTTCCATCAAATTGCATTTGGGATTTGGTAATTGTGCAACTTTAGGTATCGTCGTAACTTCTTTAGATTTAGTATTACTCATTTGATTTTTTTTCAATGATGATTTCAACATCGATTTGTTTATTCTTGAATTTTCGTTAGTTTTTATTGGAGTAGTACGTTCGTTTCTTTGGGATAACGAAGGTGGACTATCATATAAAATATTATAACGTTCCTCGAGATTGACTTTGACTGGTGTGATTTTAGGTGAGGATTGATCAGTAATAGACAAGTTTTTCGAATCGTTACTTTTTCTCAATGACAATCTTTTCTTCGGAACAGTTCCTTGATCTTCATGATCCAAAGAATTACTTTCTTGATCGTTTGTTCTTTCATTAGGATTAGTCGCAACACCGATAATGTCATCCATTTGTTCACGACGTAAACTCATTATTGGAACTCGTCCTTCCTTCTCTAATGAAATGAACGATGTATTTTGTAATGATTGTTGTTCACATGTCTCGTTAGACTTATCGTAAGTTGAATTACATTCGATTATTACATCTTCTTCATTTTGATCAATTTCTATTTTCTTAGATTCGTCTTTCTTTTTTTGATTGTACGCATCAATGTGTAAATTTGTTGTGGATAATTTTCGATTTCTCGTAGTATTTGTACATTCTTTACTAATGTCCAATGATTTTAATTTTTTCTTTTTAGATCGCATTTCTTTACCAATTTTAACAACCCTATTCCAAGTTTCTTTTGTCGCGTTACTTGCATCTAATTGTTTTGATATATTTATCGAATTAATTGCATCTTTGTTAGATTTAACAGAATCGTTGAAATTTTTCTTTGAATTTTTATCAACGACTTTCCTCAAACGTTGTTGTACTCTCGCGTGAGTTGCTTTGTATTTTAGTTTATGCTCCGTAGAAGCCGGTTTGATTTCTTGCCTAAGAAGTGGTTTTTTTGTTGTTATTGGTTTTTCTTTGTTTTCCGCATTATTCAAAGATGTTTCAGTTGTTTTCATTGAATCGGATATTTCTCTCACAGTAGAATTACTATTATCTGATATGTAAGACTCTTGTTCTACTTTGACATTACTGACAGATGACATTAAGGATATACCAGATACTACGGTGGCTGTGTCATCTAAAAATAAATTTGTCAAAAGTTTAGGACTACTATTAGGATTTTCAAATTGTTCCGTATCAGATATACTCTTCAACCAATTTGTAATTCTATTCTCTTTTACTAATGCAATGTCATCGTTGGAAGATACTTGTGGTAGTTGCGGTGAAGATAGAAGAGGATAAACACCTGATAGTTCAACTGTCGATGAACTATTATTTCCTTTTACTTCTTCTGCGTAGTCATCATTCTTTGTAATCTTCTTATTCCTCATATATTCTTCACTCATTGTATCTCTCTTATCTCTAATATCTTGATGCAATGAGGAACATCCTGGTTGATTTATTGATGAAATTCTGCTTGTTAGTAATAAAGATATATTTTCATTTTTGTTCTCTTCCGCTTTCAGTGCGTATGAGGAATTATGATGTTTAGCGTCTGGTGTGCCATGCCCTTCTCTTGTGTTACGTGGATTCTTTTGATAATTAAGTACTGTAATATGTTTATCCTTATTATAGATTTTATCTAGTGATCAGATGGTTGTATACACATTTTTTATATCGAAGACAAATATTTATATTTACTAATACGTAAAAGGAAGAGTAGTAAAGACTACACTTTTAGACAAATTAAAGAGTCTATTTCATTCGTCTTAGATCATAATATATAGAAAATATGGATATTTTACTTACTATCTATATTTACATCTTCACGAATAGCTTCTAAAAGTTTTTTAAAACTTTTAATACTTTTTTCTATGTGCTTGTCCTTTGAAATGCTTCGCCGGTGCAAGCAGAAGTTACACAGGGGACATTTACCATTTTTTTTATTTAATACTGTTGCTATACATGTACGACAGAAAGAGTGTCCGCATCGTGTTTTAACAGGTGACGAGATTGTATCCAAACTGGAAGGAAGATAGTTAACTTACAATGAGAATTAGCTTCATTTTATAATCGGCAATCATTCAAATTATATTGAACATCATTTTCATTCGAATAAAAATAAATGATTTATTTATATATATTTTATATATATTAATCACATAAATATGTTTACCAAATTCTACATTGTAGACAATTATTAATCGACTTGACTGCATCAGAGATAATATCAATGTCCATAATTTGATCTTCCGTCATTTTATCGACAAATTTCACATAAAATAAAAAACTTAAACCTCACTGTATAAACATTATTACCAATTCAATTTCTTTAACACCAAGCACGACCTATTTATTTCTAATTTATTTTTTTTTTATATCTTAAAATTTTGGGACCCGTTATTATACTACAATAAAATACACAATTTCCAAATTTTTCCGCAACACGTTTGTAGCGCTTTAAAACATATTCTTAAGTGCGGTGCAAATAAGAGGGGGGAAATAAATCGAAATTTAAATCGCGTATTTTCAATATTAAATTTGTACGCTTATCGATTTTCTTATGATGATAAATAAATTCTATTATAAATTTTGTATTATTAACTTTAATTTTATTCATAAAAACATTTATTTATTGTATCTTTTATAATATAAATAAATCGTATTTAAAATAACGATTAAATATATCGATATATAAATCATCGATACAATGTCACACGTTCGATATATGCGTGGGCCCGTATTAAGATTCTACTGCGCATGTTCGTAGAGTCGCCATTTTGTGATGTTGTTTTTGGCGCGCACAGGTAGTAGGGATTAAACAGCGCGCCGCGCCGGTTGATTTTTGTTTATACGTCATGTTTACCTGTAACCATGTGATTATATTCAAATAACAGATCGTTTAGTTTGTTATAATGATTTTATTCGTAGAGTCACGTATTATATTAAAGAAAAAACATCGAAATACGACGAAGTGTTTGCATATGAAGTGTTTTTTGGATCAACGTCGAAATATGTCGCCACCTTTTTTCAACGAATGCATAGACCAGGTATTCGTTTAATTAATTTCTTTTTTTTTTCTTTCCTTCCTTCCTTCCTTCCTTCCTTCCTTCCTTTTTTTTTCTCTGTTTCTTTTATATACTCTCAACTTTTTTTATAAGGTACGGCAGAGGAACGGGGTGCGAAAAAGAGAGAGCGTAACGCGTTAGCGATGCTTTTCAACGGCTCAGAGGGAAGGTTTAGAAATTTTACAATAGACAATGGTTGTTATACCGTAGTCGTCGTCACAAAGCCCCCACAGCGTCCATGAATATAATCTTGCCGTTGACTACGATTCGAACTGACGTGCTTCATATTTAAACCATTTACAAGTTGGCGGAAACGTCGACTATGTTGTGTGTGTACGTATGTGTATATATGTGTGTATATATACATATGTATATATATATATATATACCCTACTATCACTATTGGTCTACTACCTGATCTCACATCAGAAGCGAATTTAGTCTTGGCTACATATTAAAACGAGGGTTTTAGTGGATCTAACAATTCCTGAGTTCTCTCGAGGTTAACTGGATCATGATCGATTTATTATTTCTATTAACAATTCTATCTATATTATAGCTTATCTTTCAGTATAGAGTTTAACGGGATAGGAATGTATTTATAATTATTCTATTATGTTCTATATACATGTATAAATAGATATATATATTGTACTTATATACAATAGATATATATATATTACATATATTACATGATTTATAGGACAGGAGATAGCTCGAGAACGTTTGAGGATAAGTACATACATACAAATTGAATAATTAAGACGAATGTATCAGTTTATCTCTCGTTAAAGGGTAGAATAAATATTCATGGTATTCATTTATTATGCATAAAATTAATGGGAAAATGGGAAATTTATGTTACAGGGTGGCCCTATATTATTATCTTGGATAAACTATAGATATAAAAATCAAAGATTTTTGAAGACTGTAGAAAAACAAGAGCGATGTCGTGGTGTAAGATGATTTTTATCGGAGTGACCTGTTGATGACGTTATGGGGTGGTTTGTCCTCGCTGGTATTTTAATAATTTCCATATGCGGTGAGTTTTTACATATATTATATATTTTATTTATTAAAATAAAATATTTTAATTTTTATCCACGTGATATATATATATATAAAAAATTGTTATAATTATTAATTTATAATAATGTGATTTGTACATTTATTTTCTATATATAAATACATATATTTATGTATTGAACGTAACAGGAAAATGAACAGATAAAAAACAATTATATATATATAAAAAAATATATATTACAGAAAGAAACTGTTTGAAATTAATTTAATTAATCGAACGCACGAAAATACAAATTAATCAGATCAATCGTATTTAAATAGATTCCATTTCATTCGAATAATAATTATAACATTATATAACAAACAAATGTATCGAATAATAATGTATGTAAACTTGATATTCGTATATTGCATTTGGGAAAATTGTAGAGAATCAATTAGTTTATCAGTTAATCAAATGTCTTTTGCGCTTTTACACGAGTACAAGTAAGTAAATTAATAGAGAAAGAGAGATAGAAAGAAAGGAAAAAAGAAAAAAAAAAACAAAAATGTAAAAAGAAGTGGAAAAGAAAAGAGTTTTAGTAGTGGCTATTACGTAGTCCTTTTATACGCCCTTTGCACGTGAAACATGCATATTAAATTTAATAATTCTTCTTATTTAATATTCAATACATATAAGCTTTTTGCCCTCCCCTTTCCCCTCCCCATACTTTTTTTTTTTTTTTCTTAGCTTTTCCCTTAAACGCCTTGTCCATTATTATATGTTCCGTTTTGCTTCATGTGCATTACATTCCACTCTCATATAACTTACTTTATTCTTATACCATCCATATATAGGTGTATGAATATATGAAGCTTATATTACAGTGATTTATGTGGAACGATAATTTACATGGGCTCCTTTTACCTCTGTAATAGAAAATCGAACCACACCACTCAACGTTTTGTTCTTTTCATTTTTTTCTCTCGTTTGCTTTCGTTAGGTGATTCATAATAACGTCTCCATTTTTTTTTCTTTTTTTTTTACCTTCGAATAATTTAATATTAGTCAAGAATAATACGAATATAAAATCGTGAACGTTAACTAAACGTGCTTACGAAATCGGATAAATATCAAATGTTTGCCTACTTGATTACAGTTATATTGGTATAAACATATTAGTTAGAGAATATATTTATTTACACATGTATGTATATGCGTGGATATTACGTTAACTGTTAGTTACTATATTTGTGTATAGTTTTAAACGAGAAATATTGAAATGTATATATATATATATATATACGTTTGTATATAATAATATATGTTTATTCGATTAATTTAGAAATCGTTGGACGATATTTTGTTTCTTAAAAATAGTAATAATCAATTAGATCGAAAGATAATTCCTATGAATTAACACTAAATCTAATGAAATTTTGATTTTATTCTTTACTGCTGCTGCTGATGATGATGATACTACTACTACTACTGCTACTGCTACTGGTGTTCCTGATGATGTCATAATCATCATAATCATCATCATCATCATCATCGTCTTCGTTGTCGTCCTTGTCATCATCATCATCATCATCACTATGATGATGATCTTAATCATCGTTATAACGGGGGTTGAACAGCGACGGGATTACCGTTGCCACAGGGTGGTGGTGGGTTGGGGGCACATGGACAGCCGCAGGCCGGTTTGTCAAGCACCTCAGGCCCCAACATAGTAGGTGGTGGTGGTGGTGGTGTTGGTGTTGGGGTTGGAATCGGCGCAAATGCCGGTGGTTCCGTCGTAGGAGTCAGTGGCACAGGTGGAGGAGCAGGTGGTGGTGCAGTTAGGGGTAGTAGTGGTGTCGGTGGTGTTAATTTACCTTCATCGGGAAGTTCAAGTTCCTTAGGAGGATCAGCTACCGTAGTTGGAAGCAGCGGTATTGGTACCGGTATTGGGAGTGGTGTTACTGGAGGAAGCATCGGAGGTGGTGCAGGTGGTGGTGCAGCTGGTGGTGGCAGCGGATTGGGTTCCTCCACTGGACCATCGCGTAGGGGCCGCCAGGGGTGGCGTGTTTGGCGCCGTGGAGACCCCACCCTTATGAATCTATGGAAATCTCAGGGTCCTTTGGGTAAATCTCTTCTTTTGTTATTTAGTTTATTTAGTTTCTTTTTTTTTTAAGCGAGCACAACATCCTATCGTGGCGCTTATTAAACGAAGATTTAAAGCACATGATTTTATTATGTGTATATATATATATATTGAGTTAGGGGACAAAGTTTCTTCTTTATTTTTTTCCCCCTTTGATTGATTTCACTTTAAAATCGCGTAACGTTTGATTAATATTCAATCGGATTCGATAATACTTTGGAAGAACGATTTATTATAAATTAATTAGTAAAAATAGTTCGTGATATATTTGTTTAAACATTATTACGTCTTGAATGTGAGTTAATATAAAAGTTGGATATTCGATACGTTTTGATATTTTATTACAAAAAGAAAATGGGAATAACGTGATTCAGATTGGTAATTAAATTTTGGATATATATATATATATATATATATCATATGTGGACATGATGCAGTATCAATACGCGTGACGCAAAGTTACTTCAAACGTTTTCAATTTGGAAAATTGATATCAAAGATGCATCTCGTTTCGGTCGATCAATCATTGGAAAAGTCGATTAAAGCATGGGAAGCTCAATGACGGGATTATGGTTGTACGTCAAAAATGGCAAAGGATGGTCGAACAAAAACGACACATGTTTTTGGTTTGATAAACTTCGTTTAAAATATGAAGGAAAAATTTGTTTCAATTTTGGATTAAAATGAGAAGAAATTTTGATCACCAATCCAGTATTAATTCAATTTCCTCAACGAATTTTTAATCTTAGATTTTAAATGTTTGTGTAAATAATTATAATACTATTGCGAAAGATATTAATATTAATATATTTAATATTTTAATTAAATTAATATTTTATAAAAAAAAGTTTAACTAATATTCTAATTAGAATAAATTTTGTTTTGTACTTTAAAGTGGAATGCTGAGCTCGCGATATTTATTATATATTTGTTAGAATATTTATTTTTCCTTTTTTCCTTTTTTTGTAGATTAAATAGAAGTTTGTGTAGATTGGAATAGTTTAATAGTATATATTTTTCGAACAATTTATTTCTATCTGTTAAGAAATTGTATATACTAAATTATTATATTAACAAATTAATCTCTCTATAAATGTAAGATTTATTGAATAGGAAAAAATGTGAATGAAAATCTCACGTCGAAAGTAATAAAATTAAAACTAGAGGAAGGACGATGTAGCAATATCATTCTATACTATTTTATATCGTTCGGAATAATAGGAAATGTCTAATATCAAAGCTCGTTTGCTAGTTTCCATCGGGTTGGTTGGCTAGTTCGAAGGAGTTTACGAGGAAAAGGGACTAGTACGATAACTGTTCTGAAAGATTCATGAAAGTGTAAACATTACGGATAGTTTTAGCAAACGGATACCAGCTGGAAGCCTTTCATTTAACTTTCTAAATAGAAACGAAAATTTGCGATAAGAGTTTCTATCTATATTTCCGATATAAAACTTCTTATTTTATTCATAATAGGATAAAATTTTTTTAAACTTATTGCAAATGTTTATTACCTATTTTTAAAATTTAATTTCATCAAATGTAAAATTGTGGATACCTTTTTATAATCATTTATAAATCAATTTTAATTTAATTTTTTGTTTGTTTGTTTTAGAATATTGTAATTAGATATAAGTATATGTAATGCACATGCAAAGTTTTACTTTTTTTTTGTGAGTGTTAATCTTAAAAATTAAATAGAATAATAGGTGGGTTAAATTAAACGGTAACGTCTAAATGTCTTGTTCGTGAACAGATTAAGTCGTTTTATCCTACCCGACATTGTCTAAAACACGTCACACGCAGTAATACGATTTAACGAGACGTGATGTGATCCGTGAAAGGACTTCGTTTCATCTTTATTACTCTCGTTTACAGTTTACGTAATGTTTACTCCAGTTACATAATAACGTAAATGTAAAATACATGCTAACGATAAATGAAACATTGTTCATTAGAACAAATATATTCTTCTTTTACATAATCGAATTTTCCTCTATCACAATTTCGTATAATCGATATATTTTCGCATAATCAAGATATTTTTCCTATAATAATTAATTTTCATATTTTATTGTTTAATATAAAGATACGTTTTAAAACATAATCGATGATTTAATGTCAAAATTAAACCCGAAAAATTGGCACATTTTTTTAATTTATTTTAATAATTTCTTCTTCTTTATATAATTTTTAATTTATTTTAATAATTTCTTCTTCTTTATATATAATTTTTAATTTATTTTA